TCACAGAGGTAGTCAAACTGCACTCTATACAAGCTGAGAAATCGGTTTTCACAATATTGGTTACCAAAAAACTTCCATCAGGCGTATTTCTTAATCATGAAAAACACTAGCACAGACCTTAGTCACTCTTTTTGAAATCAAAGTGATATCAGACATGTTGATAAGTTTGACGGCTGGCAGAGCCTCGGTAATCTTGTCTCCAAAAGCAAATGTAACATGTTTAATTAATATGTTTCATCACAAAAGCTTTCGATTAACACACAATAATCTGATGAGGCTCGACTCTACCGTCTGATTCTTCAAAAAGTGTATTAAAGAAACATGTATTTTAGATGCACACACATGTAATTTTAAAAAGAGCAAATCAGAAAGTTCTATTCGTATTTCAATTTATGATTTCAATAAATCCGTTTCATGATCCACTTTTGATTGAAACCACCACGACTATCTCAGATGATAACATTTGTACGATTCTTCGAGTTGTCTTTTTCCGCGTCCAAAGCCTTGCCACTATAGACACTAAGAACACTGCAATTATCGAAATGATTGCCGATTACTCGCCATTTCTGATTATAGCCACCGTTATCAATATAGCTGACCACATTTGTACCATTACTCGTCTTGCCGTTATCCACATCGAGCACTTTTCCAGTTGCCACATTCTTGATCGTAGGAGTCATTTAGAATCTTGTCATCGTGACTTTGTAATAGGGAGAGGATCTACGACCTGAATCATGATTCTTTTGATTATGAAATCTTTTTCAATAAGATGACGATTGTATGTTTAGCGCAAATTCAGAAACAGTCACGCTGACGTAATATTAAAACAATCAATTGTAAGTATCACAGTTCCAGTGTCTTAGAGCCCATTGCTGACTGCTTGAACCGTTTGGCGGAGAAAGACAGATATTGGCAAAGTTAGCTGAAAGGTCTCCGTGCACATTAAGTGCTTTGCCATTATGTTTGTTCAAAATCGTATAAACACCTTCAAAATCCATCATCGTTGCTACTTGAGCAAAAATAATCAGTGCACAGAATCATTTTGGAAAGACAGTAATGCGTGATCACTTGTATTACACTGCAAGACAGCCACTATAGTTCCCCGATTTGACTTCTCTGAATACTATACAGGACAAGGACAGTAAAGAAGATCATTCAGAAATGTTCTCACATCAAGTCAAAGTAGTTTGCGGCAATTCATAACACTGCTTTTCTGAATTTTAGATCAAAACATATTTTTACGTTAAACTCGAACAAGAGAATGCCAGTTAGTGAAATATTAAAGATGTCAACTTTGAATAACTGCTTTATATATAACGCACAATTAAAAACAAAAAGTATTCTGGTACATAAAAGATAAGATAAATTCTGTCTTCATGTATCTTACACATCTGTTGCCTTGTAACTCATTCTTTGTTACCTAATCAATAGTTGAAATCAATGGTAGACTAAGAATCATACAAGATGAATCCTCTCTAAAGAAAATTTGTTTTGATAGACGATGGAGAGATGCAGACAGGAGATAAAAACTATTACGTAGTGTAATTTGTTAAACATGAAACAACTGTTCCGTCATCTTCTTTTTACTTAAAGCATCACACACGAGAAAAACTGGCTTTGTAACAGATTTTGCCAATTTTGTTTGGTTTTTATGCATTTGCCTACAAACATATCGAATTTATCCTCTAGCATAAGATGATTATACAATGTGAATTTCGCCTTTTTCAAAGTCATTATGTATTATATTCAATTGCTTTCCCCTGTTTCTCTCTGCCTTTCTCGCCAGAAGTGATTAGAGTCTTCTTGCAGTGACATGGTGCAAAATTGCTGTTTACAATCGAGCATTTTTGGAATGAAACCTACTAGCTTTCCTTCTATTAAAGGATAGTCACTATAGACAGAAGCCACTCCAGGAGTATTCAATTTCAATTATTATGCAAAATGTCTATGTTTCCGAGCTCCTCAAATAGTCCACTGGCGTGATTGGCCATTTTATCTCAGTATGCATTCTGCTTTTGCATACGTGTCTTTTTCCTTTTCATCACACGTCATTAGCTACATGCTTAGAATTATGCTTGGGCGCCTAAAGAGTAGATTCTATCGAAAGTCATTGCAGGTGATCAGGATGTGGAGTGTGGTATGTGTGTTGATATTTCCTTCACACAACCCATACTCATACCTAGAGGTGTAAGCCGATAGGCTGATCGGCGGCGGCGCCAGTTTTTTAAAATTTTTTAAAAATGCTCGGCGGCGCAGATATGATATTCTAAGGTTGCACAGCGGCGGCGGCTCGAAAATTTTAAAATTTCGAATACCATCGGCGGCGCGGCGGCGGCTTGAAGTTTAAAAAGTACTACATTATCATAAAAATATTAGTCTATGGCCTTGTCTACACTAGGAATATAATGTAGTATCAAATTCGTGTCTACATTTGACAGTTAATGCATCAATCAGAATCCTAGACGTCGAAATGAATCGTGGTTTTTGTTCACTTCAATCATAGAGGACTCGTCCATTGAAAATTGTGTCAGTCTCATTAGAAAATCGAATCAGACATTGATTGGTGCATCAAATTTAATGTTGTTCTGAAATGTGCAATAAATTTAATGCACTTTTTAAAAGTGTTTTAAATATTTACTAACTGTTCAACCAATCATATTTCTTAATTCAGCGTCAAAATTTTTAGTGTAGACAAGGCCTATTTCAATATCTTGGCCTTTTTATTTTCAAACACATATGTGGAAAAACTTTATTTCACATCTAGACATAATAAAAAAGTCTATAATTAAAAATAAATATAATTGCCAGGATAAATAATAAATGAGAAATCACCACCACGATTGTTAATAAGTAAAAGCACTTAGCATACTCAAGTTTGTTGTTTTTATTTTGTTTTTGTTAATTAAAATTTAAAATGCTCGTCTCTTCTTGTATTTCTAAATATATCTAATATAAGAGACATAAACTAAAATGATAACTTAGAATTTTCAACCAACACAGAATTAAGGGTTCATTCACAATTTAGAACCCCAAGCATCTGATTGGTCAGAGAACCAGCATGAAAATGAAGGTGAAGGCGAGAAAGTTAATGAAAAAGAGATATATTGGGGTTCTAAGATGTAAAAGTATCGAATTAAGGAAAATATAAATGAAATGTTATCGATATTTACAATAGTTGCCGGCGGCGGCGGCTCGATAATTTTAAAATTTCGAATACTATCGGCGGCGCGGGCGGCTGTAATTAAAGTGCCTCAGCGGCGACGGCTTAAAAATTTCTAAAATTTCTACTGTCATGGCGGCGGCGGCTTAAAATTTTTCGAGTTTATCGGCGGCTCAGCCGCACGGCTTACACCTCTACTCATACCCATCACCCCATATTAATACCCGCATCTTATTGCTAGTGTAAAGAGATTTTTCATTTGCTATAGCGTGTTCTAGTCCCAATACATAAATAACGAATATAAAGGTTTCATCATTAAGAGAGGTTTCGCAAAAAAAACCGAGTATTTTTCTGGACATCGACCGAAGCTAAATTTTTTTCGATTTTAACTACCCAGTTGGGAAGAGCATTAAGTTTTATGAACAGGTGTAAATTGGTTCGATCTAAAATCTTTCTAAAAAAAGGTGTGAGTGGGTGTGGATATGGTTGTAAGTGTTAAACGCGAGATGATACATATCCACAT